AAAATGTTTTAACTTGCAAAAACATGCTAATATTGTCACATTTTAAACTTGCCATAAATAAATAAAAATTATCTTTTATGAGTACTATCATTGTAAAATACTTTTTTTGACGTAATTTTTTTTAAAATGTTAAGTTCTGTAGAAAGTAAAATCTACCTTTATTTGCAAACATATGATACAGATTCGTATTTTAAAGTCAGCTAAATAAACTTAGCCCTTCACTGCATGAATTTTTTTTTGACCATATGCTATTAATGTACTTAATACTACTTAAAAAAATAAAAAATAAATTTTTTTTTTAGTTTTGGTTTCATGGAAAACGCTAATTAAAGAATTGTTCCAAATATGGAACATTGTGCATACAAATATGTATAGCATGAGCAGATATAAACAATAAATACAATTGTTTCATATATGGAACATTGTGCAATGAATTGTTAGTTTAACTAGTTTAAACTGGTTTAAACAAATTTTGGAAATTTAGCGTGTAGACATAATATAGTTAAGCTTTTTAGGCAGTTCATTATATTATAAACCGGTAATAGTGCGAAGTTTTTTTCGATCTTGGTCGATTTTCATAAACGGTTAAACGTTCCATCCGAAAAGTGCTTTATTTTACAGCTGCGCGTTGTGCTCCTGCTACGATTTCACAAATGTAAATGGTTTTTAAAAAAAAAAATTATTGTATGAGAACGCTTTAATTTAACGCGTTATATTATCACAATTTATATTTTATGATTCTTTCGCCAATTAAAACAAATACGACCAGCGTCATCTACATTATGTCTAATGTGGATTTTAGAAAATTCAATTACCGTCCGTTACACCGTGTGCTGTAGCCGAAAATGGTGGGTGGCAATAATGGAGGGAAGGGACGAACAATTTCGAGTGCACTTAAGTTTAATAACGATGGAATCATGCCAAAACGGTAGAATATGTCGCGGACAACTAAAACCATACTATAATAGCAGATTTGTTGGCCGAGTGGTTTGCAATCGATAACGGGAGAGAGTAGTATCATCTGTGTGGTTTCTAATCGGCTGCGTTGTTCAAAATGCTGATATCATCGGTTACCCCGGCTGCTGGCATCCGATTTTCTTATCGCACCGGCATACGAGGTATAGGGATTAGCCACGTTCTAATTAACTGTGTTGACAGTTCGTGACTTGTTAAAAACGAATTAGTCTCTTGGTTTGAACTCGATTGATAGATATGGGAAAAAGAAAAATTAATTCAAATTATAGAAATCTAGATTGTATAATAAATATTATAATTTAATTTGTCCTTTATTTTGTAAAGTATTTAAATATACTTATTCATGCATGTGATTTTTCTTTGAACTATTGCCAGCCGCCACTCGGTAATTTACCTTTGAAACTTAAGTACAAAACGTGTTCTGCGCGTTATATTAATTAAATTAAAAGTGATTTCCAAGTACAGAGAAACGTCCAAGTATCTTATGCATGTTTCTGTGGACGATTTTGGAATTATTCTTGGTTAAGTGTACAATGTACTTATTAATTTTAAGTTCTAACCTATTTCATTAACCTTTTTTTGTTGTTGGTACTTTTGCTAGGCAAAACTCCCATCCTAAATCGCAAAAAGTTTATATTTACCTATTTTCAAGTAATAAATATCACAAATCTGTAGATAGTCAAAATCCAGCACACGAGAAATCTCATGATGTTTTTCTTACATGGTTTAACATTTAAAAAAGTTATTTTTTAGGTATTCCATTTATTTTAATATTCAATTATGTTTTACATTTGAAAACCCCCTCAAAAAAATGTATTGTAGTTTCGCACAAAAATTTGATGGTTTAATAATTCGTCATTGGATCAATCCTGTGTTCTGAGAAACAGAATCCTATCTCAAATAAAGATTTATGGAACGAACAAAGTATTTTGAAACGAACAAAAAAACCTAGGTAGTGTTATTTTTAAATCTTTTAAAATTACAAACATGTACGACGTACAATATTAACTATAATCTTATAACTTAACTATAATAATACAAATATAAATTATTTATACCGAAAGTAATTTTAACACTCTAGTTATGAGGATGCAGACGATGGCAGTTTGAGTTATGTTCGATTAGGTAGGTATACTGGGTGATAACTATATAGAGGTAATTATCGAGATATGGAGAATCAGAAAAAAAATGACAAGCAATCATTATTACAGATGGTCTGACCCCTTCCCATAGGCATCCTGGCATCTTCTCGTCAATTCAAACAATTCTCTCAATGTATAATACAACAAAATAGTTGTATACTGTATAATATTATATTACTTAGTAAGCTAAGTGGTACTCTAAATTTATTATTTTCGGTTCATGTTGTCTGTGTTAATTTTTGTTAACATTCCTTAAAATAGGTGTCGAAATAACATGCGTTTTTGTATCACTAACACAACAAGTTAAATGTAGTATACTTAATTACAAATCATATAATTGGCGCAGTGTATTATAATTTATAACCTTTTGGCTTGCGATGTCAAATTTCTTTTTTAGTGATTATGTAGAAATAACAATTTATGTGTTCAAAATTGTAGTTATCTCTAACATAAGATTCTTTGGATCAAAATAATATTTATTTGACCAATTCAGTATTTTAGACAAAAATGGATGACAAACTGAAGTCAATTATTTTGACTAAAATTAGGTACGATCTGATTGTCATTTTATGTTTACTAAGTTTTTGTCGTTCCTAGAATTTAATGGAATATTTAAACGTTTGTTCATAAAAATAGTTTTGATAAAAATCAAGCAGTAGAATATTAAAAAAATGTATTAAAGTGCGTCTAGTAGACTACGTTTTAAAACCGGTTGAGACGTTTTCACTCTACATAGAGATAATATGCTATAAGGTATGCAAGATAAATTAGAACGTTATACTCCTTTGTTAGCAAAATCTGGTTACTCACTTGAAATGTTGTGTTTTTTTTTGTTTGAGAAGTTTTTTATACTATAATTTATGTTCGTTCATAATATTATAAAGTGTTCAATAAAAATTTTATTCGCTATTAATTATGAAAATTCATTATTTAAAATATTAATGTAAACCAAAAACTCGGTAAATTCGAACCGCGTTATAAAATCAGATAACCATATTACAACGTTTTTACTTTTTTTTTTTACATAACTGTGTCATAATTTTGAAAAAAAAAATATAGTATTCAAACTTTTTTTTTGTGTAATCTTTTTTTAATACTGTATAATAACCAACGATGATCCTCCCTTTCTTAATGTGCTTGTTGTGTACAGATATATTGTAGGATATTATTATAGTGTACGATATTATTGCGCACTACATGACTTTTGCTACACGCGTTATTGATAGCCAACTCTAGTCAAGTAAAAGCGAGGGGCCGTAACAACTCAAGATAATAAAGATATTGTAGAAGACAGGCAGTGTAAATTACTAAAGAAATATATGTGAGGTAAAGAACCGGCAGTTAATAAAAGCTCATGTAATCGAATATGTAATATTCGCGACAGTCACTATTTACATTGGTTTACTTAATCTATATTATGCATGTACTTAGAATTAAAGATCTATAAACTAGCTACCTAGCTTAACAACAGTTTTATCGTGTGTGGACATTTAATTACAGACTTGCCACTGATACTGAGGATTGAGGTAATAACGCGTATGTATGAAGGTACAGAGTAAAACAAAAACAATTGTATGTAAGCAATCGTAACGTTTTTAAAATGATATTATCTTCGTCACTTTCTTCACACAAGGAATTCTAATAAACTAGAGAAAAAATTATAACATATAGAAGAATTTATAAACAGCAAAATACTGATGCCATTTCTTTTTCTCGGGAACTTTCTCTCGAATAAAACCAACCTACCCGTATCATTTGCAGAAAACCCCGCTGTGCCAACAACCAGTTCATGTTATCCTTGCTGTTTACAATACAACAAGGCAGCTCTTTGAAATTTAAATTATTTACATAACAACCATTAGTTACTTAATATCTAACATTATAATGTTATTTATCAATTGTAATACTATTATTGTGATTTACAATATAAAATTGGTGGGCTATTACACTAGCCAAGAACTTAATATGCATTATTTAATAGAAATAAAACTATAGTCGATTAAATATATATAATGTAAATATTTACTTTTTAAATAAAGAACTGATTATTAAGTAATTTGATTTATTTTACTAAATAAAAACATAATGGAAAATTGTATTTTATATAACATGTATGTTGTAAGCACAGGTGGCATATTACTTTAACTAAAACAATTGATGAAACTTTTAAAAATGTTTAGCCTTTTAAATGCAATGGACCGATTTAATCAACTGTTAGCTGTTTATTGAATCCGTATTATTATTATTTTTATGTATACAACTTCAGAACGCAATGTGAGTTTACTAAACTAACTATACTACTCAGTTCGAACCGTGTACAATAATTAGCGGGTCGAGAAATTTTAAATGTACCTAGTTCTTGTTTGTCGGGACAACTATAAAGATATTAAGTGTTTAGTGTGAGAACTCATGTCTCTCGTTTATATTTTTGCTGATTAATCTTTGTGAATAGAGTGCTGTGCTCCGAATGAGATAAAGTATGGGTTTTGGTCTTTTTTTTAAGATCGCACGAAGAAAAGCAATATGAGGTTAACATTTCAATATAGGATTGGCTGGATTAAAAGAGTTGTCCAAACGTGACCACTCGTAAGACTTCTTGCTAAGGAGTAATATTTTAGCCATCTTTTAAAACTCATGTTAATTTAAATATTAACCTAGTTTACTTTTTTCTTTCTAGAAGATGCGTCCTTAAGTCTGTCTTACAATCTTGTTTGTTTTTGTTGGCGTTATCGTCGTCATCGTCATATGCGCTGCGTTCATTAACATAATATATTCCAAAAGCTATCTTAAAGCCGTAAATGGCTTCTGGCGTTTACCTAGTATATTATGTGCGTAGGAGAAAAAAACTGTTTTAATTATAATACCGCGTCTTGTGTGTTTCAGATAATTCTAATTGGATGCACTTTGTAAGACCAGCAAAAACAAAGCAAGAGCAAAACATGAGAGTGGATCAAATTGGCGATTATCTCTATTTCACCACCACCAGGACGATTTATCAACGAGAAGAATTACTCGTTGGGTACAGCACGTTCTATGCACACAAACGGGGTCTGCCCCTGTTGTCATCAGGCGAGTAACATAAATAATATTATAACCAATTCAAGTGCATTATTTAACAGCAATACCTGCTGTTTGCGTTGTTTATTCGCGAACGTCTAGACAAAATTATTACGGTCAATAACATTTTTTTTTTATAGAAAATCGACTTAAAAATTTATTCAAGCTTTCGCAGTATAATTTTTTTTATATCGACCTCCGTGGCATTGACAGACTTGAGTTTCATTGAATGATGTCTAAGTAAAAGTGCTTGGCTCTATTGCAAAGTGAGAAATGTATATCCCGGACCCACGCTCGAGAACCTGTTTTCAGTATAGTATTAATAGGCCCATACAAATATCGTGTAACGTATTCTGTTGCGGCAATTTCACCGTATCATATTATTATATCCTATTTGCCATGCCCAGTTATAAAACCCGAAAAAAATTAATCGCTCGACAGTTTTAAATAAACGATTAAATAACTTCCAATTCTAATTATAATACTGTTCATCGAACACACAGTTATCTTCTTGAAACCCGTATAGGTTTACTGTAAGCATGGATCTGTATTCACAAGTTTTTTCGGAGTTTCCATTGCCAGTTACTTAACTTATATATCACTTCTTGCGAATAACACGGTGAGAGCTACTTAACCAATTGGCCCCTATCGGTTTTTTGAAGTATGCGAGATGTTTTTAATTTGCTAGCTCTTACACTTATTCGTTTGAAGTTCAAAAATTATAATAGCTGTTTATAATTTGACACGTGAAGGAATTAGAGCGATGTTTATCTTTAGGCAGTGCGCAAAACTGGTTTGTGTTACTACAGATAGTGTTTAACTAACCAACGTTATGTAGATTTTCAAAGTTTTTTCGGACTCCGGTGTAGAAACGATCAAAATGTATTCTACTACAAATGCGGTAATTATGATATAAGTATAGACTGACTGGGTCTAGTTAATAATTTAAAAAATATCGGTCATTGAGGTGCAACGGAGATTAAATGACCTAAATATATTTCCGATGGTCTTCCTGACAATTATGGTTTTCTGGTATATACCACTTGTATTAAGCCAATCCATAGCCGAGTCCCAGTTATGTAATAGCTATAATTATTTAAACTCTATCGCATTTGCAGTTTACCGCTATGTAAACGAATCTTTTTTGCCAATCCGAGCGGCTTGGAAAGTTTTTTTTTATATTCTACCATAGCTAACCGTGGATTTTTGTAAAAATATTTTAGTTAACGACCAAGCTTTATCTCCGGTTGCCCGAAAACCAGTTAGATCTCCGAAGACGTTTCAAGGGTTAAGCAAACAAACGAGTGTCGGAAAACACAGTATCACGCCTAGAGGAAGCGTAGTAAGTGTTTTCTTAAACAAATTAACGATATTGTACTGTCTTTTCGTTGATTTAAACGGCTGGGAATATCATTCGTAGGGCAAACATTTTGCTTGCAAGCACACGGCAAGAAAACGACTGGTGACTAACCGCGCTGACAAAAATATCCAATGTAATATGTGTGTCGGAGCCCAAAATAATCCTAGACCTTCTTTGGCTTTCAAACGGAAAACAAATTTAATCAAATTGAATAACGGTGTAAAGTAAGTGTGGTTTTGATTTTTAAATGCGTCGTATATTATTTTATTATTATTTTCCTTCAGAAACGTTTGGATGTGCGTGTCGTGCGATTTGAAGTTCATAAAACGGGAAACAATAAGGATACATGATATTATCCATGAGGTCGATTTTGATAGCGAAGAAGTAACGCTTGTAGATACCAAATGCCCCGAATGCCACTCTGTTCGTACAATATTATTAATGTGTTATAATAACGTGTCAATATTTAATATTCAAAAATGAAATTAGGATTTCGGTCATGCCGAAGAACTGGCCAAACATGTCGGTGCTCACGGTTTCCTCGGTAACGTGGGCGGAGCAGCCGTTTATTATAATTGCCAAATGTGTGACAGACGATACAGGAACGTGAACCACTTAAAGGTATTTGCAGACATAATTTATTATAATATATTGTAAGATTGTCTACTATATTTTATTATGTACATCTGTAACAGACACATCAAGCTAAACACAAGGCGGACGAATTCAAGGAGTTCAAATGTACTGTATGTGACAAGCGGTTTTTGAACTCTATCGCTTTAACTATTCATGTTCGGAAACATTACGGTTAGTGAATAATATATTCTTCGAATTAGGCGGCAACTGTTAGAATGAGCTTTCTAGCTAAACACACAAAAAATGCAATTGTACGATTAAATTTTTTTTCCCTTTTAACTTTTTTTAGTCATAAATTAAATTAAATTTCAATTTTTAAATTTTTAAATAAACAAAACACAATAATCAGTTAAAAAGGAAATTAAATGTTCCATAATATTATATAGGATATTACGAAGGACAACTGAACAGATTAGGCGCTTTATCTATGCAATATGCCATCATGTGTGTATAGGATATTATCTATCCACGTTGATGTAAATGTATGTTTAAAAAATACCTACGCTTTGCATCGAAGCTAACAGTCTTTAACTTTCTTATTTTCTACGAGTCGTGTAGTCGTTCAGTTTAGCAGTGAGAAAATGTATGATTTTTATGAGATAACAATACCTCTTTACTTTAAGTTTGTCGCTGTTAAACCCATCCAGTCGAATAATTCACAATGTCAGTTGGGTCATTCATGTCGGTGTCATCAACGTTTATCGTATTATCAACTTACCTCATTTGTTCGAATTTCTCGACATATTTCGTACTTAACTCCATTCGTTCTACGCTTAATTACAGTATCTTTTATACATTCGATTCCTTTCATTAACTCTGTCAAAATTACGTAGTTTATACCAGTTTGTCCTTATTGATTACCGGACCCGTTTAAGAAATGAATTACCTATTTTTTTTTTACAACAGAGGGAGTCATATACGACTGTCCGATTTGTCAGTTGACTTTCAATGATTTGAAGCTGCTGAAAGAACACGTCCACACCCACGCGGTCAACAATATGTTCTACTGTCAATTGTGTCCACGAGTACGTCTAAATTCGACTCGATTTATTAATACTATTTTTGATTTTATTAAAAAATGTATAGATTTTATATTTTTTAAAAATATGTATTTACTTAGCAATTCAAAACGTATAAAATGATAAGGAAACACATACGAGCCATGCACAATCCCGCCAAGTTCGTATGCGATTGTTGCAACCGAATTTTCAACAGCCGTTTTAGTCTTTCTATGCACATGCGAAGGTATGGCTGTCGACCACGTTTATTGCTAAATTAATCTATCAATTTTAACACTACTTACCTTGTTCCAATGTAATTTCGCTTTCAGTCATTCGGATCAAAGAGACTTTTTGTGCACCATGTGTGGCAAGCAGTTTAAGAGGAAAGATAAACTCAAAGTACACATGAATAGAATACATTACGGGAAGAAAAAGAAATCGAAAACCGCTGAAAAAATAGAAGCCAGAGCCCTGCGAAAAGAAAGACAACTATCCAAAATTGTGAGCAGTAAAATAATACAATTGGTCACTGTTGATGCTCACTTTTTGAGTTTTGGTTTTTGTTCAGAATGTGTTTACACTCGTTAAATTAACAATTTTAGAAATCACCAAAAGCGATGTTAGACTATGAGAATTCGACGTACCGGTGCGATAAGTGTGTGGTGGGATTCAAAAAGAGAGGCGTGTTCGTTAATCATTTGGTGTCGAGACATCCAGAAATTAGTCTCGATTCGGTTCCTTCGCTCAATCAGCCGGTGGTAGTTACAACGAAAATATACGCGTGCTTGTACTGTGACAAGGTAAGTAATAGCTATCAAAACCCGCTCAACTATGAGTATTTTTCATTATTTACTACTGGGCAATGTTCGTCAATCAGGTGTACAAAACCAACGCCAAACGGAAATCGCATATTATTAAAAATCATCCGAACTGTGATCTGCCGCAGAAGCCTACCGATAAAGTAAAAAAAAACAAGCACTGCCTTTTACTACACCCCCAAAGGCTAAGATAATAATATTTCTGTGTGATTGCATTATTTCAGACCGTCATTATCGATAGCGACCCGTCCAGTAAGGACGTCGCCAAATCCCAGGTGCACAGTTGCCAGTGGTGTTACAAACAGTATGTGCTGAAAGACAAGCTCATGAAACACCAGCGGGCTAATCACTTTCACCTGTTGCCCCCGTTTCTGCAAGTGCCGAAAAATACAAAAAAACCTGGTAACAAAACGAAAAAGACGGATCAACTCTCGGCTACGCCGACAACACAAACTACACGACAAACCCAAACAATTAGTCTTCAGTTTACAGGTATATACTATGTATGCGTTCATTATTCAGGATTGTAGCGAAGCTTAAAAAAAAGTTTTATGCCCAAAAACTTTCGTCGAGGCTCTACAGTAATAATTTGAATGTTTGCTCAACAATTAACCAAAACGAATACTCTAATTAACGCATATGTTGCAATAGGTGTAAACCATGTTATTCCTATCACTTTCCGAAACCTAAAAAATGTAATATGTAAATTATTCGAAATGAACACAACAAGCCGAAACGCCACACAATGGTATAGTTGACAACTCTGTAAGCGATTTAAGAAAATAATAAGATGTGCTACAGAAAATTCGAGACATGATTTGGGATTCAACGAAAATCAAAAATTAATGTATTTTAATTTGTGTTCCAAAAAAAAAGTCAAATTTTGTTGTAGATATACAGAAATATATTACTATACTCTCAAATAATTTCTAGTCTTGAAGATATTTTAAGTGAATAAAACCCCTTGAGGTCTCTCTAATTTTAGCTACTGGGTATCACCGGTGTACTTATAATGCTAATAATAGTTTGTATTTATTAATACAAACTAAACTTTAATCGTTGGTCGTTTGGCAGTTATTGAGCCTGTCCGTTCGACGTTAAGTAACTGTATCCTTTGTGTATATTCTGTTTTAGAAGCCGACGGTTTCGAGTTGGCGGCAGATAATATAGAGCTTGACAACCCCATGGAACCTGGCAACATAATAGCGATCAAGCATTCAGTCAAAGTGAGTATCTTACTGACTTACTTGCCGTTATCTTGGACTTTGTCACGAATTTTTCACTTCTCGTAATTTGTCGGCTTTCTATTATGCTGAAAAAAAATATTTTATAGCTTACCTCAATATTATCTCGTGCCAAAATCGATTCAAAGTTGTACGTTTAAATCACACGGGAATTTCAAAAACCTATAGCTATTGTTGTTTTTCAGTTTCCCAAAAATTCCAATAATTCTGAATATGATATGGATATATCAAGCACCTCAAACTTCAAAACAAGATGTTTTACAATTATTTATTTTTTCATTGGATATTACTTATCTATAGTCTATCTATTGTAGTTTGGCTTCCTGCCGTGAAAACAATATGGCAGCCGGCCTTTTACGGCGGCTCATAAGAACCCGTGAAATTGTTTTAAAGTCTCCCTACTGGTTATTCTGTGGTATGCGCCCTTTTATCATCACAGGGTTTTGAACGCCCCTATAATCAATTCCGTCATCACGAAATCTAAATCCATATAATACGGTTATGTCCTTTTAGTAGAATTATATTTTGAACCTATATTATTGGGGAAGTATACGCGAAAAATGAAAAAAAAAATTATTAAACATCTTGTTTTGGAATTTTACATGAACCTGAAAGCAGTAATAACTACAGCTTATTAAAATTCCCATGTTATTAAAGCGTAAAACATTGAATCGAATTCGACACGGATTAATATCGAGATACTGCTATGAAATTTTGAGAATATTTTTTTCCAGCATAAAAAACGGGAAAAACATCCTGGCAAGTCCAAAATAACGACCATTCTAACATGTATATATATATATATATATATATACATACAGGGTGATTCATGAGACACTAAGATTCTTTAAAAAATAATTGGAACTTTTTAGTTTTTATTTTGAAAACCTTTTAGTTTGTTATTTTACAGTATTGAAAGTTTTAAATTTTTTTCCAGAGTTCTATCGACTTTTAAAATTTAAAAACGTAATTAATTTTATCGGTATCATTCGAGTTTGAAAAGTTGATAGAGCTCTAGGAAATTACCAAAAAAGATAAATGTTAAAGATAATTGTAAAATAACATAAAGAAACATTTTTTTCAAAAAGAAAAAAAAATTTCTAAATTTCAATTCTTTTGGAGAAAACGTGAGCGGTGTATTATCCGTAACGAAACGTCCAGCATAATATATTATGATGACCATTTGCTTACATATATTTTTTTTCCGGTGCAGGACGTGACGGCGGCGGAATTCATGTCACACCACGACATGGGCGATTTGGACATGACCGAGTCAAAGGACGGTCTCAACGACGAACAGCAGATCTACTATCGCATTTTGGAAACTCAAGGAGACGTCGCCTTCGTACAAGCCATCGATCCGCCACAACCTACCCTGACCTCTCTGATAACGTTGGACGGGCAGACCATCCAGCAAGTACTGTACTCGTGCGGTACTTCCACAGACGATGACGTGGTGTCTCCGGTATCGCCGCAACCTTCGACGTCTGCCAATTCCGTCTGATCGTTTCCGGTTTTAAGTCTTACCCAAAATATTCACCGCCAAACTTTGTCGATCTCCTCTCTCTCTCTCTTGATCTCGGTTCGGTCCTATTTTTTTTTTTTTTTACCCGACCGGACTTACAACCTGTCCAAAGTCAACCAATGCGTTTCTTTCGGTTTGCTTTCCACACGTGACGCTAAAAAGAATTCCGACCCCCGCGTTGTAACATTACATTCCTTTTGATCTAGTTTAAAAAATTTACAATCTATGTTAATTCTTATTATTTATCGTTATGGGTGATCGCACACAAGTCTCCCGTGTCTCGTGTACATAACGTTTAAGTGTTTCCTACTAGGTGCACCATTCTTCGTTGATTTTGTGTATATTATTTTATGTTATTGTCGTATTGCGACGGTGTTATACCGCGCAGTTTAGTGATTACCATAATGTTGACTCGTTAAGATGGTTTACTCGGTGAATTAATATTCGCAAAATTATTTACATTTACGAAAATAGCTAACAGTCACTATTAGCTTAAGTCGTTTGCCCCTGTTGGTGTAGCTGTAATTCGATTTGTCACCATTGAGTCTGACAAACTAAGAAATTGGAGTAACTTAAATGTGGTTCTCCTGTGACTAAAAGTGGTAAAGTATTTGGAGTCACGTTACCTTTTTTCATTATGTACAATTTTAAAAAATCAGCGGATATTTGTTTTTATCATTATATAAGCGATTAAGTGATTGGACTAGTCGGTTGTGATTTTTGTTCGAGCGCGCTTATAATACTTAACCTTTAATTCTGTCGCCGGGCAAAATTTGGTATTCATTATTATATAACCGTCGAGATTAGTCGTGATGAAAAATTAAAATAATAAAGAAAAATACTTACGTGGTCTTATAGACCGAATGTAGACCTTGTTTGGGCCTAAGTTCGGGGGCAGAATTTTTAGTTTGCAACATTTAGAGTTCTGCCATGCTGACATCTCAGTAATTATAACTTTGATTTCTAAAACTCTCATATATATATATATATATATCACTATCACAACTTTTTGACGCTTATGACCTTTTGACCTGTCGCCAAATAAAATATATAATTGCACGAAACATCTTAGCCTTCATATTTTATTAAATAAAACACGTTAGTATTATAGTTTGTTAACTACACAGTTATTTATATCGTTTTCAAAACAATATAGTTATGTAAAATTAAAAAAAAATTTGTTTTATTATACTTTTTTAATTACTTATAAATATTGATATAATCTTAATAAAAATAAAATTATATATATATATAACTTTCAAAACATTTTTTTATGTTTACGACTATATGTTTGTAATTTGGGTCTGGTTAGACGAATTTCACGTTTAAGACATTTTTTTGAAATAAACATTATTGTTCATATTTTTCAGGCGTGCTTGCATAGATTTAAGTTAATTGTTGCCAAAATTAACTTTTAAATTAATAAACGTAGAAAGAAGCATTTTAGGAAAGTAAAATAATTAATGGGTTCTTAAACTTTTAACGAGTTTATTTAATTCATTTTGGCCAAAATTTAAATTGACTCTTTTAGACCCAAAGTACATTTATTTGGTAATAAAATCTTATATTATTTCATCTATTTACTGTTCTTTTTTAATTTAATTTTTTAAGTTATCAGATATTCCGACTAGATTTCGTTATAAATTATGATTATTAGTGTCGCCATATTCAAAACCATCGAATTGTTTTTCAATGTAAATTTTTTTTTTTACAAATGTTTATTGTATTTGTTTTGTTCTGTTTTTTTTTTAAATATTGTTGCGCCGTTATTATAATTGTATTGAAAGTTAATAATAAACAAATAAGTATCTACTATTCAAAAGTATGTACTGTACTGTAAAAATGTACCCAGCAAACTTCATACTATATATTGTATGATCGCACATATTTTCGCTCTAATAATATACCATTTGGGTGATAATTAAGACGGTCTTACAACGTCTGTTATGTGTTGAAATTAATTGTTTTGTTCTTGGCTGTTATTCTTTGGAGGTATCGAGTTACGTTTTGCCTCGAAAAAACTTTATAATATATTGTGTTACAAATTGCAATTTGTTCGGGATTTGTGCTATTATTATTAAATAAATATGTTTATCTGCAAAGAAAAAAAAGATCCGGCCCGTGGGTCGACGCGACGCACTGTCGACGGTGTAAAATTGATTTAAATTAAACTTGTACGGTTTGTACTTTTGGTATTTTCGATGGGGAAATAAAAGAGATTTATTTTTGTCCACTTCAAATAACCGCGTTGAAATCGAACTCAAACATAATGGGAATGTTTTCGGGCGAAATAACAATCTTTATGGACAAGTATCCTTTTGTCACGCTGTCGGTTTTGTGAAACTCTGAAGGGTATGCGCCAAAAGGAAAAACAGGATGAGAACGTAGGTCCCCGACCGCAATAACGACAACAGCGCTAATAGTAATTATGACTATAATGATTATTATTATTATTGTTGTTGTCGAGGAAACGACTTTGTCCCGGTCGGCATTGGCTTATACACCGTATAATATTATACATACGTATCTTGCAAATCTGTGGTTGTTATAATAATAAAATGCGGGTAAATTGCGTAGGTGTATAATAATAATAATAATAATAATACTTACAAATCACCGGGTAGCTGCCGAGGCGTTTGCCGGAATGCAAATTTAGGCATTTAATAACTGCGCATCCGAATGGTCGTTGTGTTTGCGATGAAAATAATTATTGTTTTCACTGCGTTAGGTACCTCTACAGCAGCCGACAAGTGATTATTAGACGGAACACAATGATTACAGCAGCGGATGTCGACGTTATATCCGTCGGGTTGGCGTGGAAAAGATTAGACGCCCGTCGAGTAGAACTCTATATTTTCGTAGGTAAGCGCCAGTGCGGTAATTCAGTTGGAAAATTAATGTTAAGACTACGACCAGGAGTCCCCGGCTCAATTAGCGAAGGATTTACAACCATTTGGAACTTTGTCGCTGTGTTTATAATATAAACGGAAAACGTTGTGCGCATAATATTGGCTGGTTTTATATATATGATTATGTAAAAAAACAAACAAATAAGACATTGGTTTGGCTGTAGAATACAACTAATTCCGGATAGGACTTTTGGAAAACTGCTACTTTGCTTATGTCTCGGATGAAATACAATATTAACCAACAAACTTGCTGTCCTGGTCTTGGTCTTGTTTAAAGCAAGATTAACACAGACAATACCAAGAGCAATTTTGCTCATCACTATCGAGTATCAACAAAATATGTCCAATTAGAAATATGATAAAAGCGTGATTAAAAACATTACTAAAAAAACATTGTATAAAAATAATTAAAAAATCATATGACCGAACTAGGTCTTAAAACCTACTCCAGGTCAATAATAATAAAACGGAAATAAAAAGTCGATGACATGCTATTTATGCTTATTAGATACAGTTTTCAATGATTTTTTTTCTTGAAAACAATTCCAAAGAATATTGACTTGAACATGTATACTTAGGCTGGGAGTATTTCAAAATTTGTGTGAGATTTTTTTGTGCAATGATTTGCCAAAAGACATGTTCATGATTAAATGTTTTTTTTTTTCATTAAAGAGATATTTTGAGTATTGTTACACAGTTTTTTTTTCGTTTAACGTAATTTCATTAAGCAATTTTTTATTATTACTGAATTTCTACAAAGGAAAAATGTTGGGTAATATAAAATAATTAATTTACATTTTAATGAGTTATTATAACGGATAGTGAATAATTACAATTATTTAAAAAACGCTTCAGTGCGAATGTGTTTTCAGAAAATATATATAAGGACATGATAAAATAAAAAATAATTGTTGACTGCACACGTTATGCACTTAAAAAAAAACTGTAATAGTAAATGAAATATTTTTAACTATTATATAATACTCTCAATTCAATGTTAATTGTTTAATTATTTTGTGTAAAAAGTGTTTTGAATGATCATACATTTTTTTTATGTATGAAATATTCTTGAATAGATTAAAAAAATTCCATTTTAAAAAGTTTGTTGTGATATTATATAAGCTTAAAATGTTTGACGATAGTGTAATTAAAATTAACTGAAACAACTTTGTGAAGTTATTGTTTATAGTGACCTTGGCATAAAATTAGTTTTAAACTAATCGCAGTAAATCAAAATATTGTTGTTTTAATATTTTACGTACAAAATTATTTTGATTATTATTTATTACCATCGCAAGTGTTCTACATTAAACAGAAAATCTGAAAAAGCAATGTATACTTTTACTACCTAATATACTATTTGTGTAGAATGTTCAGCCAGAAGGCGACTACCATAAATAAAATTATTATTGTGTATTGTTTTTTATCATAATAATTATGTTAATATAATATACGATTCGAAATAGATTGTCATCTATATTTATAATTGTAAAAGATTACACTAGTCTGACGGAAATTCTAAATTTTTTCAAGTACACTTATTTTTACATATTTTTAATGACTTTGGAATTCGTCCAGATTCGTGTTATTCTCTATTATTATAAAAGTCCATTTTGTTTTACAAACTACCGAAGCAACGATGTGCCAAGCCAAGTGAATACTATTTAGTTATGAGTTGTCATTTAATTAAAATCCAAGCTCATCGTTCTTTCACTCCGGTAAAAATTAACGACGATTTATTTAGTCTATACAAGGCGTGTCCACAGATGTGTTGACAAATGTAAATACCTTCCTAGAACTTCAATGTAAAGCTATCAAAACCAGACACTGTAGTTTTACAGTAGATTTTAATAACCCACCGTGTACCTTATGTGCTTACTGCGGTGCTAACAAAAGAACAGGATTTAAATAAAAGAACTTCTAATTAAGGTAAAAACCGTCTGGTACGAAACAATTGACATAACAATGGAAAACTTTTTAAAGTTACCAACGAAAAAGTCGGTTTTGCGAATGACCGGAATGAGTCAACCATAGAAACGAAAAATTATAAAAAACCAAGTACAAAAATACATATTATTATTATTATAACGCCATTGAAATGTGTTATAGCACGAATGCTGAAACTGTTTCACACGTTCAAAATGTATGCACAATACATAACAATGGTTTATGTAAATGTCTCCGTTGTTTATGGACAAAACAATAATAATATAATTACTGTAACGTGGCAAGTTTCAATGTCTAATTATGCTTTTTTTTTTTTTTTGAACCAGTACAATGTATTGTGTAGTAATTGTGCATGTATTATTACCAATGTATTTTAGTGTTGGTAATTTGACGCCTAAGCAAATTATTGAAAAACAGCTGGTCCGCTTTTAGTGCACAATAAATATTTAACCTAAAAAAAAAAGTACATTATAGTTTATCAGTAAAAGCAATATCCTTGTTTTAATACCGCATAACGTGCCTCTATCTTGCATTGCTAAAAAATTAACTGGGACACCAAAAATGTGCGACATGCACGTTTATAATCTTCCTGTTGACGTTTAATAGTGGCCATTTTAACAATATTCGACTTTAATCAGCCTAAGACTGCGTGTTAAAAATATTGTTTTAATATAGTTCTCGTGATAAAATAGTTGTCATATCACAAAAACATTAATTTTTTTAACTTGCAGAGGTTCAGTGACATAATATAGGAGTGTACGGCTGTTAATACTAAATAAGGCATTTAACGAAACCTATTCTTTTTGAATGTTTTCGATTTACATTTTTCATCGTACCAAAAGTCAGTTTACAGGGTTCAGTTTTTTTTTTTAAGCAAATACAGTGTTTTTTTTGACTAAATAATTATCCGTGTCGGCTATTTTTTTTTTACGAATGTCGAACTATGAAGCGTGACGGTCATACATAACGATGGACTGGTTGCAAGTCCTCCAAGACAACGACCCAACTACAAATATTATTGTTTTTTTTATTATTACTATTTTCAGTCGGCGCATGAATAGTCTGATAAAAAAATAAAAACTACTGTTTCACGGAAATTCGTGTCGACCGTTCACTATAATATTATAATAATAATAACACTCAAGATGAGTCACAATACTGAATACTAGGTATAATTATTATTATTACAATTTTTCATATATACATAAAGAAAATCATTTTTAACGTTATTTCTTGAAAACACAATGTCTACGCTGTAATAATAATATTCAGTTTCC